CTAAACTTATGCCAAATGAATAAGGCAAAAAAAAAAAAAAACTGCTCCAAAAATACTGAGGCAAGCCGAGTCCACAAAAAAGCTGCGCCCAACAACCAAGCGCGAAAATTATGACTCGTTCTGAAAAAAGTTATCTGATCCGATGTGCACCCCGTCTACACGTGTGTTTGTGTAGGGGGGTCAGTAGGTATAAGGGCTTTTTTTAAAACAGCGAAGTCGCCTTCTCCTGCTCCTTGACGAGCATTTCGTAAAATTGATATATTATAGTTACTGCGAGTAGAATACCCGTACCACTTCCCAAGGCCCCAAGGAAATCAGCGAGAATTGTCAAGGCACCAATACACATGCCTCCAAACGCTGCAGCGGTGGGGATATATCGATTGAAAACTCTGGTTAGGGATGTGGGTGTATCTCTATAGCCCCTCATACCAATTTGCTGATCTCGTAATTGTTTCGCAACATCTTTAGCTGAGCTACCCGACACTTCAATCCAAGTCTTCGAAAAAAAGGCACATGCCACAAGGACAAAGGAAATATATACCAGAGTGTGAAAAGGGTCATTTGTAATATCAGCAAAAGAGTTTGGAGGAGAAATATAGTAAGCAATTCCACCAATAGGAATGGAGGTTCCACTAGATTCAACTTCCTGCCACTGTCCCAATATATTTACCAAAATGCTATTCTTGAATCGTTTATACAATATTTGTGAAAAGAAATATAAGTTGGATACTAATGCTGTCTGCAAAATGATGGGGATGTTACTTGTGTAAAATAGCTTTATCGGGTAAGTGCCTTGTTGTCCTCGTACACTCTGATACTTAACAGATAAGTCCACTCTGAATCCTTGGAGGTAAATGACAATGAGAAAAACTAAAATGGTTGCTAACAGGTTGGTAACATTTGGTGCATGGGTTCTATAGAAAGATTTTTTCAAGGCAGATATTTTATTCGATTCAGTAAAGAGACAGTATACTAGGGAAATAATTGCTCCTTCAAATTCTATTCCTTTATCTGTGTTGATGGTAGTTGGACTAAACGATTTCCACATAATAGTTTCACAAATGTTTGTTGCTATGAAAAGTGAAATTCCTGACCCTAGTCCGTAACCCTTCTGTAACAGTTCATCCAATAAAATCACAACAACTCCAGCAAAAAATAATTGAAGTATAATTATAATGGCATGTCCTGTTCCTATTTCTGATATGTTCCCATAAATTCCACTAACAACATAGGCAATGGCTTCTCCTAGGGTTATTAACAATCCCAGTAACTTTTGTGCTCCTTGAAAAAGGGTTCTATCTTCCTTTAAGCTTTGATCCACGTCTATTATTTTTGAACCAGCCAATAGCTGCATTACCATGCCACTTGTGACTATGGGAGATATTCCCAACTCCATTAACGTTCCTCTGTTCGAAGCCAATATCACACGCATCCAATAAAACGGGTCACTTAATTTACTCGTCACAATACCGTACAATGGGATTTGACAACATATCAGAAAGATAAACAAAGACACGGCTGTCCATAATAACTTTTCCTTGAATGGCAACTTCCTATCTGGCGACTGCACCTCCGGCAGCAGAAACATAACCGGCTTGATCAAATTGAGAAACCTCACTGAATGATGGGAGGGGGGGAAGCAGAGGTTACAATTAGAGCGTTACTCCAAGCAATGTGCAGGGGGGGATATGAAAACCAGAATTAGGGTAACAGCTACCCCATTTGTGAGTGCTGCGATAAATGCATAATTGGCAACGCATACGAATGCGCACATGCGGTGACCCCAACAGAAATAGACCACTATGCGATTTGCTCCCCTCTGGACGGGCCTCAAACGGTTGTCTGCTCATGTAAGCACATTTTGGTTAGAGGCCCGTCCATACGGCTTCACCAATATACCCAAACTTCCTACATCCTACGCATGGCTAACACAACATACGCACACCACACTCACATATTTATATATATTCACGCGACAAGCATTTTTCGATTTTTCTCACTCTTACCCATTTTTCCTTATATAGTTTTTTTCTTATTCGCAAACCTGCTTCCTATTGGGGGTAAACAAAAAAAAAAAATTATCATTTATTGCGCAATGTACATTTACTCATGAATGTTCCGGGTGGGTTCCACATACCACGCACCCATCAAAAGGGGTCGTGGCCCTTTCAACTGGGTCTTTGGCACTGCTGATGCTGCTATATGTATGCGTTTATTTTACAATAATCTGAAAGCAGGACTTTTTTCATTTCCCCCTTCTGCGTTACCTCTTCACGGCTTTCACTTTTTTTTTTTTTTTCTTTCAACTTACTTTTATTCGCTGCACAAAGTTATTTTATTTCGATCCGTGCCCTTCTACTCCTTCCCCCTCCTCACTTACTACGCGTTAACATAAAGGTAGGGAAACGTTCTAAATTGAATAATGCAACTATGCACAAATCAGTAAAGCTTGGGTCAATGCGTTCCGTAAGATGTCGGGAGAAGGGGATACGATCGAGTGAATGTTACATACACGTAAGAAATGGAGAAAACAAAAAACCAAGTTAATAAGCAAAAAAAAAAAAAGAAAAAAAAAAGAACATAGCTTGGGGATTATGACACATTCATTATTATCATGTATATACTGGCATGCATAATATGTATGTAAAATTCTGTGAGCATCTTTTCTTTGGATCAGTACATACTCCCTTGTATGCCCTTAAATAGCAAATCGCAATTAGCTGTTTGAAAAACAAATAAAAATATCATTATCAAACAAAAAAAAAAAAAAAAGCAAAAAAGAGGAAAAAATGAATGGAAAAAAAAAAAAAAAACAGAAAAAAAAAGGAAGCAAAAATGGGTGATGAATTACATAAATGCATAATAATATACAATTTGGAAATTTACATAAATGTGAGTTGCGAACTGATATATATTTTTTTTTAATCTTTTTTTTTTTTTTTTTTTGTACGAACAGTGAAATCCATAACGTGTTGCGTATGCTAGTTATACTATATACATATGTAATACACGCTTTGAAGTTTTTATTTCTATTTTATTTTTCTTAAACTCATATATCCTTTCAGCAACTGTGCGTTATCCGTGACTCACTAGGTTATCGTAAGGGCTATTTCATAAGCACAAATAGGAAAGGTTTTTTTTTTTTTTTTTTTTTTTTTTTCCAGTTTTTAATTCGTCATAAAATAACTCATTTAGAGTATTAACATGGGAACATAAGTACTAGCGTTATACACTCGTACGAAAGGCCTTAAAATACGTTACGCGGTTTTAAACACGTGGTGACAATATATTCACCATTTTTTTTCTGTATTTTTTAAACTCCAGCGGTAGTGGAAACCTTTTTGTTGCTTTGAAACTTGAACATAGTATGCATATTAAGTGGAAAAATAATATCAAATTTATAAGGCCCTGTTTTTCTCCCCTCTCCCTGAATTTCCAATTTGGGTACACCATTGTGATGTGTTTATACCACTTGCAAAGTGACTGTTCTCTTTTTTTTTTTTTTACCTTTCTGTTCAAATATAACCCTCACGAGGTGTATCACGGCGTATGATTTCCCCCCGGTTGGGGCACGTACGTTTTAGGTTATTACTACGTTGCGCCACAAAGGGGAAAAGGAAAAGGCAATCAAATGAGAGAAGCGAAACGACATAACAGAAGCAGGACAAGGAAAAGCAAACCAAATACACGTTAAACGTGGTCCCACTCGTCAGGAGTTTCATAACGTATGTTTTGTCTCCCCTGCCATTCCCCCGTGCGCGCACGCTTTTACACGGCCTTATTTACGCAAATGATTTAAATGACTGATGAAAAGGAAAAAAAGAAACATGCGGCAAATTTTTAGCAGCTGACCTTTTTCATCCATCTAATTACGTGTTCTTCTACGTTAAATATGTAGAGAAAGTACCCACACGTAAAATTTTACACCACCAGGGGACGGCTCCTTTTTTTTTTTGCATACGCCATTTTCAAGCATGTAAAAAATTATATGTCATGTGTATGTGCCACAATTTGTATGTGTACAACAGGGAACCCTTCGACAAATTTCTAGTGCGTCAACATGGTAATGGAGCAGTGTACCGGTTAAGTGCAGCATAATTTAAGTGTTCCCTCCTGTGTCCTCCTCCCCCCAAAAAAAAGAAATCCCTTCATTCATTACACACCATTTCAAGCAGGTTAAAATGGTTGTAACATTTTCATAATTGGGTAAAATAACATGCAAAAAAGCTCTGTCAGGGGACGTGTCGCCCTGCGCTAACACATGAATCACATTCATTTGTCTATCTTCTATTGTCCTGTGCAAGGTTGCTATAAATACAACTTGTACAAGTACACCATTTATATAAAAAGGTTTAAAAAAAAAAAAAAAAAAA